AGAAAAAAAAATTAAAAAAAAAAAATAAATTAAAAAAAAAAAATTTTAAAATGCCTGAAAATTAAATTTGAGGAAAAAACACTTATAAAAAAAAAAAAAAAAAAAAAAAAAAAAAGGCATAACTTCACCAAACTTTAACTGATGAAGCTTATTTTCAAAACTTAATCTGTATTTGAGTAACACTGATCACTACTGTGAACTTCAAGACAATTGGCCAATCGATTTTCCTTAAAATGTGTTATAGGTGTTGCATATATGCTGAAAAAAAAAGTGAAAAAAAACAGCAAAACTTATAAAAATGCCCTGATCATGCCAGTTTTCAAACTTGACTTGCATATTATAGATATTCATCAGTTCTGTAAGTTTCAAGCCAAAAAGTAAAGTGTTTTTTTTTTTTTCACTTATTGTGTTATCAGGGTTGCATATATGCTGAAAAAAGTGAAAAAACAGCATAACTTCCATATAAATGGCCCAATCATGCTGATTTTCGAACTTGACCTGCGTATTATGAATATTCATCAGTTTTATAAGTTTCAAGCCAAAAGATAAAACAGTTTTCCAATTATCGTGTTATCGGTGCTACATAAATGCTGAAAAAAGTGAAAAAAACAGCATAACTTCCCTAAAAATGGCCCGATCATGCTGATTTTCAAACTTGACCTGCGTATTATATATATTCATCAGTTCTGTAAGTTTCAAGCCAAAAGAAAAAACGGTTTTCCACTTATCGTGTTATCGGTTAAAGTGCACGGCGACGACGACGATGGCAATGACGGAGACGACAGACGCAGGTGATGGCTATATGTACAGACACATCTGTGTCTGTACATAAAAATATATCAAAAATAAAAATGTCCTTCCGTGACACTATTTTATAAGTTTTCCAGATAAAAGTGTCAATAAAATCATAATTAGTCATCAAAACCTAAAATTTCTTTTGGATTCTGGTGTCTTATGGTGTCTGGTTTCAGAAATTATAAGTTTTATAAATAGGATTCCTTTTTTAAATTTTGAGGTCTGCGGACCAAATACCACGGAATGGCCCTTAAAAACTAGACAACCAGACACCAACAAGCAAGGCAGCAAAACTGTGAAATATTCAGACTACAGAACAAGGCAGCAAAGCTGTCAAATGTACAGACAAAAAACAGAAAATAAAGATGCAAAATAGGTCATTTTGTCAATTTTGATGCAATAATAAATAATGCTTATAATAGCAATGTCAATCAACACTGAATTTTAATCATGCACAACAGGTAACATGCTCAATAACAGGAGCAGATCCAGAGGTATTTTCTGACAGTATTCCAAACTATATTTGTTGATCCATCCTACACTTTTGACGGTCTTCCAACAGAAAAAATTGATACCAGTCCATGTAAACTTTAAAATCTGACCCAGTGATTGCGAAAGAGATTGAAAACTTACCAGACATGTGGGCTGGAGCAAATTAAATTTTGTCAGCCCACATCTTTTTTTACCGGCCCACAACAAAATAATCAAGCTGTATATTTTCACTTCATTTTTGATGAATATTATTGTCTGGCATTTTAAATCGTTGCTTTTTAATTTTCAGGCCAGATGTAATAGGATGTTTAAAGGTTTAAGTTTAATCGTCTTTCATTTTGGTTGCTTTCTGGCATTTAAGTTTTATCCTTTTTACATCTGGGTTGCCTATCTTAATTTCTAATCTTTTAACACAAGTTCATGTATCCTTTGTAAATTTTATTCCAATTTTTGACTTAAATTAAAACATAAGTCATAGTGAAGTGGAGCTTCCAACTTTTGTAACGTTTTTTAGATTTTCACTCTTGGAAAAATGCTTGTCTGTTAGCAGGGATTGTCCTGGGTCAAAATCTGGTCGGGCCATTTTGGCCCACTTGGTCAAAAAAAGTGTGCCATTTTTTAAAAATGTGTGCCGTGAATTATTTAAAGAAAATTCGTTGTATTTCAATATTTTTTTATATGATAAAAATCAATGAAAAAAGGCTTAATGCTACTACTCTGAAGTACTAAATAATTGTAGTGTGTGGAAAAATCTTCCAAAATAAACATACTGTCTGAAAAATTGTACAGTACTTAATGGAAAAATCTTCAGAATTGATAATTGCACTATGCCAAATAATTGCACTACATGGAAAAGGTAGACAAATCCAATTTTTATTGTAAAATAAAGCTATTGCTCTCATAGCAGGCCCGTAGCCAGCAATTTTAAAAGGGGGAAGGGTTTTTTTCCATAAAAACGCCATGTACCTAGATCAAATTTTACCAAGAGTGGACCTTTTGTCAGCATAAGAGGCGNTTCAGAATTGATAATTGCACTATGCCAAATAATTGCACTACATGGAAAAGGTAGACAAATCCCATTTTTATTGTAAAATAAAGCTATTGCTCTCATAGCAGGCCCAAAAGGGGGGGAGGGTCTTTTTCCATAAAAACGCCATGTACCTAGATCAAATTTTACCAAGAGTGGACCTTTTGTCAGCATAAGAGGCGGTTCTTTCGAAACCCCTGAACCATCCCTGGCTACGGGCCAGAGTCTGAAAAGAATTTTTATTCAATATCTAAGACTAAGGTTTAGATGAATATACTGTAATGGACAGTTTTGCACCCTGACTGTGCCATTGCGGATTTTCCGCATGGAAAATGATGTTGTCCCTCATTTTGACATATAGCACCGCTAAAGGCACAATATGACTTAAAATATCCGTTAAAATTAGTTAAGAGCACCCATCTAAAAAGCAAATGAATATTTCTCCTTTTCACTTATGATATCGTTTACTCAACATGCAGTCCGACGGAAGCCATACTTGTTTATCCAGCACGTGCAGTTAGGTGTTCTCAGAGGTCCGCGCGTGGCCAGTCGTAAGCAGTTTGAGCGGCCTGTTTTCAGAGTCTTGAGCAGTACGTTTTTCATTGACCTGTAGTTGTTTCAGTTTCGATACATTTTTTTTGTGAAACGGGTCACATGTCAGCCCTCACACCATCGCTACGCACACTTCAAGCGACATCATAATGTACGTAGACCTTTATTACAAAACGCGCAAGTATGGCGCAAGTTAAAGTTTTACTTGCGAATAGTGCGCACTTACAGCTTTACGATAAATTCAAATATGAGGCGAGGTGTCTGTTAAAGAAACTGACTTTAGTCCGTCGGACATGTGGGCCGATGAGTTAAAAGGGTTTTCCAGCCCACAGAACTTTTGCCGGCATATGGCCGTGGTCCGACGGCTTTTGCAATCACTGACATCACATTAATATTTGTCTACAGAATGGAAGATCTACTGGGTCACTTGGTTGATCCAGGAATAATTGTTAAAACTTGTTTAATTTCAAACACTCATAATCAACATCCAAATATCTGTGGCTGCTAGTATGAGCATACTAATTTGGTGCTGAAGGCAGTTTATTCAAGATGACAGCCTATAATCATGCATGTTTCATTTGTCTACTGGTCTATAGACCTCTCTGTGGAGTTGTGAATTATGACAGGCAACAACTGATTTCTACTGCCAGACATCTATGATTTGGATTTAACTGATATACTAACTAGTGTCACAGCATTTTATCAAATTTCTCCTCTATTAACCTAAGTTATAATATATAAGTTACACTGACTCTCACTCACATTTATTTATAAACATTTCGTAGTTTATAAGGCGATTTGTACACAAGGTACTCTTCTCATATGACAAAAAAACATCCTCTTTGTAGCATTAAATTGCAGTAACAGTAACCATGATTCCAAGCTTAAAGTTGACTGGAAAATGAGTTAAATTATAAACTGAAGTGCAATGCATTATTCAGCGGCGAGTGACCATGATTAGTTTATTTTAGTCCAATTACCAAGACCATTTTAACTGCAAATGTAGTTGTACAATATACATAACTATAATAACTACTCAGTATTCTAAGCCGGCCATTCTAATCCATTATTTGCAGCATCAACATTCACTGTTATTCTACCAAGACCGCTTTACTCTGTTTGCTTAATTAGCTTTTGAAAAAAATAATAATAATATGCCATGCATAACGTTACTCACATACCGTCACTCGTTATAAAACTGCTCGTACGTAAGAAGTGGTTGAATTGAGAGAAAGTGGATTCTCTGGTCAGTATACTGGTACAGGAACATTGGACATACCTGTATATACTGTCAGAAAACAATCCACCGGTCACGATGAAAACGAATGAAAGCAAGTAAAAGAAAACAAACAAGAATCGTGCACTTTACTGGATTTTTCTACACAGGCCCTTACCGTGGAATTTGTGCTTAATCTTTAAACACCGGTAGCGCATGAATGCGGAAATCCAACAACAGTCAAACGTCACTCCGCCATGATGGTCTCATGTGACTACCGCGGCGGAAGATATAAATAGGTCAAAGTAGTCCCTATTTGATATCTGTATTGATATTCATTTAATATATTTACAAAAACGCATATTCTGTATAAATGTATCTAAGTATGCATTCTAATAACTTGTAGACTGGTTTGATTTCAAATTGGTCTGTCATAAATGCAAACATATTTTTACGAACTATTTTGTATAGTGAACGTGTATTGACGTCAGACCTCCGATAAGAACAAAATATCTTGTTGACGAGACGTGATCGAGCACTTCGAATTTTCATAAGACAAGTAAGTATTATAATTTTCAATAACACTGTAAGGATCATATTAAAAAATATATACCACACTTCTGGTCAATCTTCACAAGACCACAGAATGTATAAAGTTATGCGATATTTGTGATAAAGACGTGAGGTACCTTAATTCCTGCTTGAGGAATGTTTACCTGGCTGGGTGGGGATGGTTAGATCTAAATAAAAAACGATTTTGTAAATTAAGTGAACGTATAGCACAGCGTGACCCATATGCTCGCCGTCGTTATAAATCTGTCGTAGATTGACTACTTTAGAATTACTCTGCGTTGTAAGAGTACTTTTAAAGCTTAGCATCTGTGTGTAACGTTATCTGTGTATATATACGTGTATTACGTTATACAGGATATGCATATACCCTGTAAAACCTGAACCATTTGGTAGAATGCTAATGTTGTTTGAATCATGTTTAGTTAATGAAATGGCCAGCACGAATGTAAAACACCCAGGCCTAATATGTTCCTTGCCTATTAACAAAGCAAGCAAACAAAAGATATTTACATTTAATGTACACTGTATATTTAATTCAGTTTTGTCCACTAAATGATATAGTTAACACCCTTTTGCCATTGCGCAACACTTAAAAATATATATATGTGTATTTTTTTTTTTTTAATTGGCAGATGTAACAAGATTTAAGTTGGCAATATTGTAATAGTCAGGCAATAACTTGCTGTTAAAAAAAGACAATTTTAATATGATCATTGTAGTCATTTGATATACATTGAAAAGTCCATTACAGGCATTCTTATCAGTGAGGCCATAGGAAAATATCTTGAATAAACATTTGTTGTAGAGAAGCCAGTCAGAACAACTACTATAGTGCTATCAGATATAAGATAAGATAAGCTAAAAGTTTATTTAGCCTAATGTATATGTACACACACACATGCACGCACGCACACACACACTGTTGGGAATCAAATGCTCTGTAAAAATGTGGTTGTATTAAAAAATATAAGTTATATGGAAAAAAGTCTAAGACATTGAGAGGGATACAGCTCAAGGATATAAGCTGCATAAAAAATGTTTACTACCCTTAAAAACTAGTTTGGAGTTGCTAGGTAAAAAATAAAAAAAGTTGTCAGCAGGACGGAAATAATCACACATGATGGAGTCTGTTTTATTCACTTCACTCTTAAGATAAATAGATTCAAAAGGGTCAAGATCTGGGCTCCGTTTCTCGAAAGGTTCGCTATGTTGCGCATGTGCGTTAGTGTCTCGATTCCATAACCGATGCTATTTCGAGACCGGGGCCATGGAATCGAGACACTTGCTCATGTGCGCAACATAGCGAACCTTTCGAGATACGGATCCCTGCTCCAATCACATCACTTGCTGTACCTATTATCTCTTCTAGTTTGTTCCCCCCCCCCCTCTACATTTGCATGCCTGAACCATACAGTTAACACACCTGAAAAAGTTAGCTAAAATGGACACATTCTTGGTAAAAGCTATCAATTGCCTAAAAAAGTGATATATATATATATATATCATATATATATTGGCAAAACTTTTTGGTTATCATGTTGATTTGAAGGTCTGTTTAATCTATTTAATATATACTAGGTCTCAGTTAATTGGTCCACATTTAACAGCAGTTCAGGCAGTGTCTAGATTCAGCAGGATAATCTTTAGATCACTGTTACAATCAGAATTATATTGAAGGAGTTGTGCCAAGTTTTGACAATTATTTCCAAACAACTGTTGGAAGGGTAGTCTAAAATCCCCAGGCTTAAAACAGGTATATTTTGTCCAATCTAATTGATATTGAAGAGAATGCATTGTGTCAAAGCATCCTGTGTGGGCAACACAGTCACAGTGTACAGGTATTACATAGACATGTTTTGTTGACTCGTTTGATAAGGATGTTAGTAGTTATGGCATGTAAATATTGCAGCACATGGAAGGAAACAATGCAAAGATAAGAATCATTAAAAAAAAAATAATAATATTGATCTCAAAGAAAGTCAGCTGTAGAAAGTTGGATGTTTGTTTACAGAATAAACAGGATTTGTAAGACTCATTTATAAACAAATTTTTAAGTGATCATATCAAAGTTTGGCGTCTTTTTAAAACAAAGATTAGCATTTGTTTTCAGGGTTTCTGTTTGTACTATTCCCATGGCCTTTAGACTAGATAAGTTGAATTTTAATCCCATTCTAACACACAAGCTCAGATGGTCTTATATTGTACTTGGAGTTCAAAAAATCTTGAGTTCATAATCTAATTGAAACCCTGGTTTTTATATTTAAAAGTAAATTCCATGTTTTTTTATTTCAGATAAAAGGGCAAGTTAAAACAGAAGCATGGAACAGCAACCACCCTATCCCCAACCAGGACAACACCCCCCTCCCCCAGGGGCAGGGGGATACCCAGTGGAGCCACCCCCTCAATATGAGCCACCAAAATCTCAATACCCTCCCCCAGGAGGATATCCCCAGGGACAACCAGGGGGGTATCCTCCTGCCCAAGGGGGCTATCCCCAGGGCCAGCCAGGTTATCAGCCTCCCCCTGGTCAACCAGGTGGGTACGGACCCCCTCCCCAAGGAGCATATCCCCAGCAAGGTGGTGGGTATCCTGCAGGTAGTACTTGCTTTTCTTGCACTAACTTGGGCTTATTGGGTTTTTTTCATAATAGGACAGATAAATTTTTTGTTTGAACATAGAGGGGTCCGGATGTAGTTCAAATTGAAATTGTTGGTTTGCTTCACACTCTGTACACACTTTCTCAAAGCATTCACTGAAGGAAGTCATTCAAGGTAACCTAAAACAAGGTTGTTGGCACCTTGTGACATGTGAGACAAAAATACGTATGAGAATCTGCAGGAGAAGAGCTTAACCTGGGGTGAAACTATTTTCAAGAATGCCTATTAAGCAATACCTTTTCAAGAATGCCTAGTAAGCAATACCAAAGTAGCACACAAAACATGATGATCATGCAAAATCCTGCTTAATTTTATGTTAAGGCATGAGACTATAGACTATCTTGGATGAGTTCTATTAAGTATTTACTAGGCTATCTAGGATGATTCCCATTCACAAATGCTTTAAAAAATAGTTGCTAAAGGCTTTTGGAAGAGGGTGCAAGTGCTGCCAATCAGTGTGTGTGTGTGTGTGTGTGTGTGTGTGTGTGTGTGTGTGATTTGAAGTGTAGATATTTCAGCCTTGCTTGAGCAACTTCATAAAAGCCTATTTGTTTTGCTTTATAGTTGTTGGAAAAATCCCCAGATTTAAAAAGATTAGCGCATACAAACCTATATTGCTATGCAGCAAGAAGAAGATTTGTTCTAACTATAACCTTCTAACCGTTGATTTGTAATCAGTTTTGTAGAGAAAGATAATTTCAAAGAAATTTTAAGGATGTATATATACTATGATATCAGATGTTGTCTTAAAGTTTGAAACAGCAACTTTGATTTTTGACTTTATGGCTTAATTATAAGTATTCAAGCAAGAAATATTTTTGTACTTAGCACTGCACTTCAAATATTAACCGGATTTTTGTAAACCAAGTTTTAATTTATCACATAAAAATAAGCATGACATATACACCTACGGATCTCATGTTATCTGTTGACAAAAGTTTGCACTTCTTTATTAACCAGGTTACAGCACCCAGACCACCACTGTTATAGCCAGTCAACCCCCTACCACCACTGTGATAGTGGCGCAAACCAGCTTTGGACCACGCTCCCGCTCTATGCAGTGTCCCTACTGCCAGGCACATATCACTACGTCTGTCAACTATCACTCTGGTGGACTGACCTGGCTCATTGCTGGACTTATCTGTATCTTTGGGTAAGGATTTGTGGTTAAGAGGTGTCTCCTTTTAGTAATTGCTTTTGTGTCTTTGTCATTATTTTAAGTCTACCTTCCTATAGCTGGTTTTTGTTTTATTTCACCAAGCCATCCATCCTTGAAAATTGAATGAATAAATTAACTAATAAATAGATAAACAAATTATATGAAATGAAAATTTATATTTTTTTCATACTCATGGTTTTTATAGATCATGCATATATTCTCCATATTTCAATTGCTTGTATAAATATGGTTATTGCTTGATCATTTTAGTGGGCAAAAATTATCAATCTTTCAGATACATAATCTTATAATCACAAAATTATATTTCTGTATAGCTTTTGTGGTGCTTTAACTAGGTAGAAAAGAACTATCAAGTAGCCTGCATTTAATTTTGTTGATGCCACTCAAAAATTCTAATCTTAAGAAATTATGACTTAAGAAATACAGTATCTGTAAAATTCCCAATTTCCCCCCAATTAAAAAGATTGTGTAATTTAAGTTTTATATAATTTGTATTTCTAATTTTAGTTTGTATTTTCACCTGGCATATTTTCTTTATATTTCAGTTGCTGGCTTGGTTGCTGTCTGATCCCATTCTGTATTGATGATATGCAGGACGCCACCCATTCCTGCCCCAACTGCAACCGTACACTGGGCACCTATCACAGGCTGTAGACAACAAGACCTACAGACAGCCAAATACCAAAAGGAAAATGGAAATCCTTGTAGCCTTCTTGTATATGATCTAAACAAAACCCCTCTGTGCTACTCATCACCTGTCAGTTGCATATGCCATATGATATAAAGGATTTATAAAATTATCACTTTTATGAAGCAGACCTTTGTGTTGTTTTTAAGTGACAAAGTGTAGGATTTGAAACACACCTGAAATACATAAATTACTTGTTGAACTTATCAGAGGACATGTTATACTCTTTGGTCATATTTAGCAGATAAATGCAATGAATTAATGTAAAAAAACATTTAACACTTCATGATGAACCAAAAATCCTACACTATGAAACTTTTAAATATAATAAATCAATCAAAATTTTTCATTTTCTACACCTAATTTTTAAGCTATGAAGGTGGAGTTAGGGAAATGTTGTAAAAGGAGCAGTCTTCATCCTGAAACCCATAAAAATGTGGGCATGGGTAGATTTCAGTTGTCATACACCACTATACTATAAACAGTTATCATTTTTCATCAGACTGATTAGGGCTCCTGGGAAGTAAGCAGAAGCTTATGTAAATATTTTCTGTAGAATTTGAAATGTTTAGAATGATTATGACATCTGTCCATGGTGATGATAAGGATCTATATAACTATTTAAGAGTCTGTTGTACCTCCCTTCATGTAAATATTATATTTATAATATTATAATTATTATTATGCAAGAGGCAAACTGAAAAAGGAAAGACAAGCTTGCTAGAAAGGAACATCTTACTAATAACTTGCATATGGCATTTTGAAAATTTATTTGGTCATCGATATGGGTCTGATTTGCAATGGTCTTGATACATTTACAGAGTCACTTGTAATGCTTGTTCTAGAGGCTTTGTTTTTTTTTTGCTTACATGCAGCTATAAACCAAGAAAATTATGACAGGGCAAAACCAACTGGCATTGCATAGGTTTGAGAAAAAGGGGGTAATAGAAACATTCCATTCCAGTTTTAAAGCTTTTACAAAATTGTCACTAAGAGTATTTAGAATTGACATTAATATTTACCCCTCCAGGAAAGTGCTGTTGCTGTAGTCTTTCAATTTGTCATTTGACAAAGAATTATCATAAGCAAGGGGTCCGTGGTAATTCGTTTTTAAACCAAGATAAAAATATTTTTACATGTCCTGTGGAAAATCATTTCAGCATCGTATTATTACAAATAGTGTTGTCAGGGCAGTTTGTGGGTGTGAAAATGGAAGTTCAGTAGAAAAAAACTATGGGTAATAGACTTTGCCTTGAAATTTTCTCTTGTAATGTAATATATGTTGTGGGCTGCATGTTTTGGTTTCATCATTAAATAGACTGCCTTTGACACACATTTGTACAGGATAGGCTGAAAGTGTCATCAACTGTGTTAACATTGTATGTGGTCTATCTAGACTGTTGTACATGCAAATCAAATAATATAAAAATTTAATCAAATAATAAGTTATTTGATTATTACTGTAGTAAATATAAGTATGCTATCCAAGAACTCTCTGGTGGAAGTACCTAGATCTTATCAGGTAGTGTTTTGGAACTTCCTGGTGTTGTCATTTTTTATGTACCTTCTCAGTTATACATTATATTGGTATGGATTGTATTTTAAGATTAAATAATTTACTGCACATTGACTGAAACTTGGAGGCTAATTAAATTTTGTGAAAATGGGCCACATTTCCTTTATATATTTTTTACAGAACAATTGAAATGAACAAATTTGGATTAATGATCTTTAGCATTTGTTTACTTCTCAATATTAGTTATTTGTAAATGGATTTTTATTGACATCATTGTGTAGCTTTTAGAGGTTCCAAAAGTGCAACACATAAGTGTGAATGTTTTATCTATTCATGTATTTACTTAAAAAGAAATAATACTTATAGAATAAATGAATGTTTGAGCTATTGTTTGCTGCCTTGCCTGATTGTTATCTGCATGTGATATTATACAATTATCAACTGTGGCTGAGGTCAGAATGTTGTTTTGCTGACCTCAATAAAGTGGTATCCACTTAGGTGGATGCTTGCAACATTATGCAACAATGGGGCAGGGACGTCACAGGTAGATAATGCGGCTTTTGATTATGTCAGGAAAGTCGGTATTTAGTTTTATCACATAAATCCCCTAATATAACACTATATTCTATGCCAATTATATAAAAATAGTATTTATTTCGGAAAAAAAAACATCCAAACTTTCTTGTCATAAAGTGAGACTTTTTTTTTTCTCCCAGGAAGATTTGAAATTGCAGTATACAAACACAAGACTGGGTCATAATTGAGGTTGAGTGCCTGAAGGGGGAATGTGCATAACACAAGCAACATTTAAGGGTATGAGTTGTTCAATATCATTTGAGCATAAAAGTGAAAAAGGTCTGTCTGACATCAAAAATGCAGAAACCTGCCACCTAGGCATTGGTAAATTGGACCGTTTTTGTGAAGGAACATGTCCAACATCCCTAAGGCCGTCTCCAGTGTTTTTTGGGTGAGATTTCAATTGAATCATGTAACATTTAATCTTTTTGCTAAACCATGAACAGGTCCTTAGTAACTATCACAGCTTTGGATGTAGCCCAATGACTTAATCTGCACATTAAAAGCATCTGAATATGAGAGCAAGCCCATTTATTTGATATTCAAATGCATTTGGAACCTTGCTTTTCTGAAGTAAAGCCATGATGTTAAAAATAAAGTGACACTTAGGCCTATCAGCAAAAAAGTAATGTGCATAGGAACATACAAGCAATCTTATTTAGGCCACTGAGAGCCAGTCAATCTTGCCATCTTGAACTATGTTGACTTGACAGGTGTTGCACATTAAGCATAATTACTGTACATGAAGTCTTGCAACAGTGAGCACTCTTGGCAACCCACACTTTCATGTTTCATTTTCTATAATTAAACATAAAGCAGAGTTTTTTTTCTAATTTTAAAATACTAAAAAGGGATATTTACTAAAAAGACCATTTTGCAGTTAGTGGAGAGGATCACCAATAAGAAGTATTCTATGCAAATGTCATCTCTTAGGTTTCTAACAACTAAACTATTTACAGATTATCATAACACAAAGGGATTTTTAAAATCCAGTTTATTTGTAACATAATGGAAGACTTACAAGAAAAGAATAAATCATATTGTGCCATATTGTTATCACAGACATACAAAATTATCCCTAAATATATGTGAAATCATAGGGTAACTGTTTCCTCTCTTCAATTAAACAATACTAAGATGTATAAACTTGGCATTAGTGACATGAACATTATACTTGGTCCAGTGTAAAAAAAATGTTGCCTTAACTGGAATTATTACAGGAGCTCGCAAGTCAAAAAATATATTATCTTTCTCCTGACAGTAACAATAAAATAACAGTACTGAAATGAAGACTATTAGATAATTTATCACAGATGATGCAAAGGATTTTGTTATTTGGTCAATTGTATATTTTTACTCAACTAAACAGAACACAAATGATCAAATGCATGAGAGGGAAAAGGCCACCTGGCAACATCTTAAATATTCTACACATTTTACGTTAAGGGCGCATTCCCATAGATTTTAGAGCGATCTATCCCCGTGGGGAGTCTCACTAGATTACTGTCAGATAATCAGGCTGAAATATCCGTCCCGCCTACTACAAGCTGTAAGGGGGTAATTTAACTTTCATGCCCGCTCGGCTGACAGCTATTTAGCGTGAACCCCCAGATCTAGTCGGATCGATCTAATCTCTGGGAATGGGGTCTTAGCAATATAACATGTTAATTCAACTTAATTCAACTTTAACCCAGTATTTGAAAATGCAATTTTAACAAAAAGTTAAATTTTCCATATTTAGTGAACAGCCTTTGGTGAAGAATTCTAACAAATATCACAGAAGTTAAATATTTATCAGTGTTGAATATATGTATAATTATAAGGTCAACTCATTTTGTCAGTATATCCATTACCAACTCTTGTAATCTTGCACTTACCTCCTCTGTGCATGACATCAATGGGACCTTCTATAAAAATAAGATCAACACAAATCTGGATTTCAATACATCGGATTGCCATCATAACTCTTCCCTTTTTTCTTTTAGAGATATTCTAGCACTATGTCTAAAGGCATGCTGCACCACCATCCAACAACGTAACAACTTACATATTTAAAGGACCACCCTTTGGGATTTGCCTGCCAAAAATGAATTGTTGGAGGTTGTCTCCAAGCATTTGAAAACGTCCCACAGTCATATTCTTCCTGTAAAGCTTCTTGTATTTCCCAATGCACATTCCAGAGACAATAAAACCTTTTAAATAAAAGTTGAACTGGAGTGTATAATTATCTTCTCAGACTCCTTGGGTAGACATTGCCAGCTTGCAACGTCTGCATTATACAGGCACAGGGCAACAATACAAAACATTTTCTTGTGTGAAAATGAGGCAATGTGCATGACAGCAGATGTCATTTATAATATTAAACTTGAGTATTAAATTAAAATTGGAATAGAACAGCGAATCCAAGTGCAAGTACAGAGCAAGCGTTTATTCCTGATTAGGAGAAAAATTGCTCTTTACCCTGGAAAATTCATTTTTGGCAAGGAAATTCGCATAGAGTGACCCTTTAAGTAAAGTGAAAATGCATAGAATTGTTCACGCAGCATAAGCCACATAAAGAATTTTGTGGTCTTAAAAATGCATATTTGTAGGAAAGTTGTAAGTCTGGAACTCTAAAGAGAGATGGTCTGTATCTACTAGAAAATTGAATTAGGCCCTTGAATTCTGTAAGTTATTCGTATTTTCTAACACAATTAACCCACACAGAGTCCCTATAAAGAAATGTTTCATATTATAACACATCATTCAGATTAAATATATTTCAGCACCTATCTGAATTGCGACTGTTCATACAATAAAGGGTGTCAAAGATTATGAACCAATACATGTACTAATATCAAATTTCTTTGATGGCTATGTGGATAACTCTGTGTGGATAACGCTATACCTTTGAATCAATCCACAGCAGCTACAATATTAATAAGGCCTTCAATTACAAGTTATTTTGAGAAAACTGACAGTGCAATTAAGAGAGACCATTTTTTATAGAAAATTCTTTGAAGGTAATTAACCCTGTGTTTAAAGCAAAATGCTGATCATCATCTACATTCTGTGGTATGTACCAAGGGTGCGGTTGCAGTTTGGACAAAAGTGACGTGCATCCTTTAAATCTTGTATGCAGAATGGGATCAAACAACACCCAAGCCAGCATCTTAAATAAATGAACAAAAATATATTAAGTACAGAGATAAATAAATAATGTAATGATTATAGTTTGCCTTGATATGTATCAATTAATAAGATATACACCCAGCTGTTGCATCAAACATCTCTCTCAAAATCAGTTATAATGTATTTCCACTTAGTTTTTATTCTATTTAACTTTTTTTTTTCAATTATCATAAGCCAATTCTGCACCATACAAAATGTTAAATTAAATGATAGGCAAGCTTACAAGACAAAGTCAGATCTTTAAAGAACCTACCCAACAAAAAGGGTAATTCCAGCAACCAGCCAGGTAGCCCCTCCAGAATAATATTCCACTGAAGTAGTGACATGTGCCTGGCAATATGGACACTGCATCTGCTTGGAATTGGGCCCAAATGCAGGCGCATTCACATATACCACAGTTGTTGGCTGGGCCACCACTGGAGCTGAAAAAGAGTTGTATATCTATATATCTGCAGTACTAGTATATCATAATTGCTTATAGTAGCAGGTACTAAATATCTTCCTTTCACCATAAGACTTAAGACTACCAAAGCAATATAAATATCATGCTTGAACCTGGATATCAATGGATTGACTGGATAAATGCTAGAATGCATATATAAATATTCGTTAAATAATTCTAAATAGACTGACTGGCATGACGATAAACCAAAAAGTCTCAGGGTGATGGAATAAATGCATTTTAAATGAGTCATTTCAAAGATATGAAATTGTTACCAGTAGCTTTCTCTTACCAGCTTGTGGTGGATAAGTCCCCTGCTGATATCCTGCATATCCATCCTGCTGGGGTGGGTATCCTGCCCCCTTAGGAGGCTCATACTGGGGAGGCGGCTCTGCAGGGTAGTTTCCAGAGGCTGGGGCATTTGTCCCATAATTTTGTTTTTCTGACATGGTCAACAATGGATAGCCTTTGAAGGACCTGTAATTTTTATTCTTTTAATTTTCCTTCTGTAAAATGAGACTTTGTTACATCGTGTATGTGTAACCTCTTTTGGGGTATTTCCATCAGTACATACTACCAGCGTCTTGAATTCCTATTTACATTTATTTATTTATTTATTTATTTTTTATTTTTTATTTTTTTTTATATAAAAACCAGGTGTTGTGTTATTTGTGCTAACATCTGAATGTGGAATTGTCAGTGCCCAAAAAAATTAGTACCCCTGTATATAACTCAACCTAATCGGAATCAGCATGTTGCAATTCCTAGATAGAGAGATTCTACCACTTCTTTGTAGGTACCAGTTTGTTCAAGCCTTGAATCAAGGAAGTGAAGTTTGTCACTGCGTAAAATAATCGTAGATCTAAATACCATGTGTGCTAATTCTTCCAGTCAGGTCAAACGAAAGATACTTTTCTCATTACTTTAATGAAAGCATCTTAAATATAAAGTTTATCAAAATTTCATTTTTTACCTTCAAGTTACTATTTTCGCAAATTTCTTGAGATGGATTTCTCTTGTAGACGACGCACAATCTTCTTCGGCCTCGTTTTGGTAAACCTTTAACATGAATCCAATCAGCAGATTCAAGGAGAAACAGTTTCATAAAATGGGTAGAAGACTGATGTTTTTGGCGAATACAAATTCTATACAAGCAAAATAAAAAAGAATAAATTTAAGTTAAAAATATATATTAAGTTAAAAAATACTAATTAATACAAACGATTGGAAAATACGGTGTCAGCCTAAAACAGAAAAAATATAAATACAGACTTGGACTAGCAACGTACGCTAAGGTGAAAGGCCGTGAAGATGAAATCGGTCATGGAACCTGTAAATGCGTAGTTAAAGCATCAGATCGATGCTGTTCCATGTTTGATCCTAGACGTCTCCACCCATACCTGCTGGCTTCTGGTGTGACTCGTTTCCTTGCATCACTCTTTTCTACTAAGAGCGGTTCTTGGAACCCGAACAGTAATACTGCAGGTTTGTGCTCAACACAAATAAACTACTTAAAAACAGTAGTAGTCTAGTCTGCAGGTCGCAATAGCCCTATCAGTAAGAAAATGGAAATTTAGAATCGCCCATCACCTACTACAGGTAGTGAGCACAACATTTCCAGAATTGTCATTTATTGAGGGTAGCGACAAAATTTTTCAAACTGCACTCCCACTCCTACATGAATATTGCCTCATGCAGTTACCGCTGGTAAGGGTACCATGAGCAAGTATGGCAACAGAGGCAAACATGAATATCATCTCCTAAAATAAGTAGAGTCAATCTTAATACTTTTTTCACATATCATGTCTTATGCCAAGAAGGATTTGAAACTTGTATTGGTCATACTAATACAGTCACCCATTGATTGTTTACTTTTAATTATTAGTCTTTTGAATGTCTCAGTTATCTATAAACCATAGTGATTATTTGACAGCTGTGTTTATCAATAAACAATCAATTGACAACTGAAACTGTAATATTTATTCCAGGTACCAAAATGATGGCAAATCCTGAGAAACTTATTCGGGTGTTCATGGTCGGAGACGTGATGCTTGGAAGAGGAATAGACATGATATTGCCTCATCATTGCGACCCTAAGCTGTATGAAGGCTATGTAACAGATGCCAGAGATTATGTTAAGTTGTCTGTGGATCAGAGTGGGGCTTTACCAACTGAGCGAGGAATGAGATATGTATGGGGAGACGCCCTGGAAATCCTGGAGGAGAAGAAGCCAGATATAAGGCTGATAAACTTAGAAACTTCCATTACAACCAGTGAGACTCCCTGGCTTGGAAAGGGTATCAACTATCGTATGCATCCTGGTAATGTGGAGACTTTGAAAGAAGCCAAAATAGACTGTTGTGTGCTCAGTAATAACCATGTCCTGGACTGGGGATACCCTGGGCTGGAGGAAACACTGTCCACCCTGAGGAGTGCTAACATTACCTATGTGGGTGCTGGCAAGGACATCTCAGAAGCACAACAACCAGCTGTGTTTGACCTTCCCAACAAAGGCAGGGTGCTCATCTTTGCAGGAGGTCATAGGTCGAGTGGAGTTTTTGATGAGTGGCAGGCAAGGAAGGGCAAATCTGGGGTAAATATCCTTAACATTGACCAGCTGTCGCATACAGTTCATGAGCTGTCCCAGCAAGTTAAAAAAGCAAAAAAGCCTGGAGACATTGTCATCCTTTCTATCCACTGGGGTGGAAACTGGGGTTTTAAAGTCCCAGACATGTTTCAGCGCTTTGCCCACAGTGCTATTGACAGCGCAGGTGTAGATGTCATCCACGGGCACTCTTCTCATCATGTGAAAGGGGTGGAGGTCTACAAAGGAAAACTGATCATTTATGGCTGTGGAGACTTTCTCAACGATTATGAAGGGATTTTTCATCCTGACCATGTACCATATCGATCTGAGCTGAGTCTGATGTACTTGGTTGACCTTGACCCAGAAACAGGCGACCTTGTCAACCTGCTGATGGTTCCCACCATGACCAAAAAGATGTGCGTGAGGAGAGCTGAGGAGGAGGGGGTCAAGTGGTTACATGAAACTATGCACATGGAGTGTAAGAAACTAGGAGGAGGGGTGAAGAGAACTGGAAATGAGCTCCATCTTTTGTTGCATGATGATGATAAGTAGCTGTGATCAGATGACTACTGTACTGTTTTTTACATTTATTGCTTTTTCCACTATGCAAGCTTGTAAATGCCATTAAAATATAAAGCTGCAGTTTTCATTTTTGTACAACTTTCATTTTTTGGTTTATATCTTGAAAATACTTTGTTGCTTTTTCATTATTTTTCTTTTGTATTAGTTGAGCAAGTGATGAAGCTATATAATGGCTAAGGCTAAATGTAATAGAAAGCATAAACAGTCATATTTGTGATTGGATTATGTTTCTTCCAATACTTCCAAAGGATTTAACTGTGATTTTTTTATCTCACAAGTTTCAGTAATAATTGAATTGATGATTTTACCATATTAGAAAAGTTCCTTTTGTAATAATTCAGTGAGACCTGTAACAATATTGTGGCATTTCAATATCCTGTTGTAACTGCCAAAAATTAAGTCACACACACACACACACACACACACTTGTTTGAACCCAAGCAATAACTTATTGTTTAAAAAATAAATAATCCCATTTGCTGTAAAAAGGCATGGTTTGTTTGTTCGTTGGTTGACAATTTGGTTACATAAAGGTTTTTGAATTTTTATGCCCATGATCAACAAATGGTGGAGTCTGGGCAATTTTGCTGTCCACAGCTTATATGTTTATTAAGATTTTTTTCACTGAATCCCATTTGTGCACTATTAGCTAGGTGTATGTAATTCCTTTTCAGTGACAAGATGTTGAATTGCTATTGTTAATTGATTTTACCAAATTACGAAAATAATCTTTTTATTTTCCTTGTTATATTATTTCCATGAACGTGATTGCATTGCATGTTATGGTAATGATCATAAGAGCTGATGCTGTAATGAAATTTAGTGATATTTAAAAATGCATGTTCTTTTAAAAAGGAAACTCTCATGCAGCATTTCACGCTGTACCACTCAGGTCCCAGGTGCTGCAAAACCCCCACATAAAAGAAATAGTAAACAAACTAAGCTATTGTGATATTGAACTCTGTTCAAACAAACGTGCCTCAGGCCCAAGCTGCATATATCATATCAGTAGTCTTTTACACTAAACCACCAGACTGGTTGAGAACAGGTCAGGAGAAGAGCACCCAACTGACTTTTTTTAATACCAGCACTTATTGTTATAACAATATTTTAGGTCGCAGACTTATCAATTAAATCAATATCCACATTACTATGTTTATTTTGAAGACATTAAAACATCAATAACTGGTGAATATTAATATTTTTATGCAAAATTAGTTCTGATATTATTTGGAGATTGCAAAAAATATGGAAGGAACTTTAACAAGAAATAAATCAACGGCAATTTTCACTAACTTATAAAGATGTAACAAGTAGCAGATTAAGTCCACTGCACATATCACTTAATGATATTTACATTCCCATGAAGTAATTCAAACCATTTTACTACAAATTATAACCTTAGTCTCACCATGCTATCCCAAAATATGGTATTTCCAAATTTCAAGGACAAAAAAAGTTGCCCCATGTATGAATTCAAACTTTGATGGACTTGAAGCCTAAGGCTCCATTCAGAATAGAAGACTAAATAGTCCGAGGGTCAAATATGGCGACCCACTACAAAGCTTGCCGTCTAATCCGCTAATACCGCTAATAGACACTGAATAGATAGCCCGTGGGGAAGTATTCAAGTGGGCCGGCCATTTTTGAACTTCGGACTAGTTGGTCCCCTATTCTGAATGGGGCCTTAGGGACCATTCCCACAGATATTTGGATTGATCTAACTCCCTGTAGAGTCTCAATAAATTACTATCAACCTAACCGGCTTAAATGTCTGTCACGCCTAGTAAAGCTGTTAGGGAGTAATTATCTTTACCCTAGCTGATTCGGTAGGCATGACACATTTAAGCTGGTTAAGCTGATAGCAATTTAGTGAGACTCCCCAGCAGGGAGTTAGACCGGTCCACATCTAGGCATGGGAACCCAATCTTAGGCTACTACTGTAGTAGGTACTTACTCTGAATGTGCTTGTTAACTTTGGTAAAATGTGGTGGTGATAATACTGTTAAGTATACAAAACACCAGCTTTTATCATATTTTAATCTGGTCACAACAATAACTAGACAAGGCAGCAAAGCTGCCAAATGTACAAGAAAAAAGCAGAAAATAAAGAATCTGATGCAGAAAATAGGTTAATTTGTCAATTTTGATGCAATAATAAATAATTATGGAATAACAGCACAGTCAATCAACACTGAATTTTAAGCATACACAACAGGTAATATGGTCAATAAGATTACAGTTTCAGGACCATGAGATTTCAAATACACATAATGAAAATCTCAATATGTGAAAAATGATGACAGTGCACAAAAACATATTACATGATGTTTAAAGACAAACACCAATACGACTGCTTATTTAGAATACAGAAATTGTAGTTCAGGTGGATGGGAGTAAAAACTCACACCTTGAAAATGCCAGTGTTTGAAAAATAAAAATTAAAAAAAAAACATAACAAAAAATAATCCAGTAAAGCTGCTATTCAAACTTTAAATCTAACTGTATTAACATGGTATTAATAGCCCCACTGAGTTTGAAGATAATGAGGCACTGTTAAGTGTTATTCATCTATATAGCATTTATGTTGGCATTACACAAAAAAAAAAATTCTGTTGTAGCTTATTTGCAATATTAAAAAAACATTTACCTGCATAATTATCACCTATTCCTAATTTTCTGATACTGTTAATTTAAACTTTTACAACTGTATCTAACCGTATCTTGTTACTTTGTACCCCTGTGGACAGTTTCTGAAAATTTCATTAAAATCTGTCCAAACTTTCCCCATTATGTTCTTAACAGACAAATGGAGTCAAAAACGATCTACTTTGCGGAGGTACATGTAATACCCTGGTACATGTAAATGGCAATGCACCGTAAAATCTGATCAAGTGCTCTAATGTAAAAATTTGCATAGCTACACTGTACGCCACAAATAACGATTATTATGCACAAAATTGCAAACACATAAACACTAATTTTAATTAAAATTCTTTATGCAGTTTTATTGTAAACCACTTCATATTACATACATTTTACATAAACCTTAACATTTCAATTGCTTATTCCCTATACAGTCTAATTCTAAACTTTAGTCTTTAGAAAGTTTGAAAGCACAATTTCACCGATTTCTGAGTCCAAAACTGCAGACAATTCTCTCTATAGTGTGCCTCTCATACACTAGAAGGGTGCCGTGCTCCCGTGAGAAATCTGGAATCCTGACCCATCTTATTGTCTTTCATATCGCTCTGCATTTTCTTGGCAGTCCCAAAGTCACCAAAAACCAAACAAAATAAATAAACTAAGCAATAGTTATAAGCAAAACACTGTCACACGATCTGAATAAAAAGCATAGTATAATACGAACAGTTTTCTTACAAGCTTTCTTTGCAGCACGGCACAACATTGTCAAACATTCGACGAATAACTTCTCATTTTAGCCAACCTTTTAAATTGAATATACACCGTTAGGCATGGCCTTCATAATTTTGCAAAACTCCACCATTCAGACATTAAAACTGTTCAGATCGTACATTAGAGGTTATAGTATATGGCATCACACCATTCATGCCTAAGATAGGTTCAGACTTGCTTCGACAAAAGCACTGGCAGCAAAACAAGACCATGGAGAGCACCAAACAAAATTACCATGAACATGAGTTTGAAAAACGCTCTGAAAATATACACAGACAATGCACTTAAGGCCAGCACACCTAGTATCGTGGACAGAGCCCCCTGAAGAATTGAAAAACCAAGGGAAAACAGGGAGGAAGAAAGTTTTTTTTCTCGGTGCAACCGTTGGCGCTAATATATGCATATGCAATGTGTGCTGAAAAATCAACAGAAAACCCAATGCACATTATCAGATTTATCATAGAGACAGAATCCAGATTAACATCCCACCACACCATATAACCCACAACACCTGTCTCTATTGATGCCACCGACAAAGCAACCCATAGTGAACAGATAGGATTGGGGATCAAAAGTAGTGAAATAACTACCATTGAACCAAGAGCAATGCCGATATTTTGTAGAGTATTGGGTATGATCGCTACGTATTGATCGTACGAAAGGAAGGCAGGATGGAAGACAGTAACACACACGAACTGACTTGACCATTGTCAGCAAGGCACATGGCAAGTAGAACCAGTTCCTTTTCTCTAGACGCATCAATTGGTGATTCGAAGCCATTATATTATCTGTGGTATTATCTATGTGTATATCTAATGAAAACTTTTCATTCCTAGGCAAAAACTCACGTTTTAGCACATTAACAAAATTGGTTTCATTAACTGTCAAGTTGTACTGCTCTACAAAACTTGAAAAGTCTTGCAGCCAAAATACCGTTGTGTATTCCAATAAAAACCATGCTGGCAGCGAAAAAGGTTATTTGGAAAAAGAAGTCAAAGAGCACAGCAACACCTAAAAGAATAAATAGTTAAACTGACGGATATACAATTGAAAATAAATAACACTAACGAAGTGTATAATAATGGTTTCGCGAACATCGTTTCAGTAAAATGAAAATTAATGCAATGCCTCTATTTATCAAAATATTCCATGGATTTATGAAGTATTTCGAAAGCGTTCTGCACATGGCAGCCATAAATTCTATCAAAAATGAATTCATATTGAAATAATTGAAACATTGAAATTGTATACGTATAACCACAAGAACTGTTCATTTCACCCAGAAAGAGCGAAAGATCGAAAAGTAAAAAAGGCTTATGGCACTCTTCAACTTGTGAATAAAACTTTAATCGCCAGTTGATCCTACCTGTGTTTAGACAAAATAATCTGATAGTAGGAAAATCAGCAATGGCGCCAATACCAAAAGAAAGACCGTCCGTAAGCGTAGTGATTGTGATAGAGATAGCTGCTTCTGAAAATGTCTCCCCCATGCGTTTTTGAACGGTGTCTCGTGGATTGGTCTGCCGCCATGCGGCTATCATAATAAACATATCGTCAACTCCGATTGCTGCAAACAATAAAAACTACTTCATTCAAAATTGCAGAAATGTTTCATATATGATAAGAAAAAAAACGCATTTAACCAAAGCAAATCAAGTTTGGATTTTATGAGATCATGCAGTTTTTAACCTGTAAATTCTGACCTGTAAATTAGAAAGCTTATTACGCTAAAATTCAGTAAACAATGCATTGCATCCAATCGGGATAGGGCACAGACAGATTTTGAATCTACCTGAATTTGGACTTGGCTTGCGACATCTTTAAACCGAAATGAAAGCCATAACAAACACGATGGCCCCACTTTCCTTGACCTCCACTCCACATTAGCCGTTTTGAACAGCGGAAGTTCGATAGAGGGTGGGTGGGGAGGTGATGACATAACACTTGTAGCATCATTCTATAATGTAGTTGCCGTGTTAGATACTGAAACATTGAATTGGTAATAACTAGCTTTGTAAACTTTATCATGACAAGTATAAAACGGTGTCCTCAAAGACAACACAACGTACAGTAAATCACACAGCACAGCACAGACAGTTTTTTCCAGGCAAAGGAAGCCTTCCATGTATACTTCCCAGCAAAAAAAAAGTGTCACCCCTAACGTAATGCGTAAAGTGATACAGATAATCACGTCATGAACCAATGCTCTTTATTCAACTTCTAAAAGAAAATTTACGTATTTTGTACAGCTGTAGAAATGATTGATGAACGAATTAAAAAAAACAAAAAAGTAATGCACAATAGACGGTTAGAGTTGTGCATAAAAGATCTGAGCAAAATGGCTGGCCCCGTAACTTTAATATTGTTGCAAATCAAAATTTTCCAAGGGAGAGTAACTTTTGAGGATACGGGGTTTAAGGCGCAAACAAAAGGCCCAAAATAACCGTAACTTTCTGTCCTAACATGGCAATGCTCCACCTCACCGTACTGGCAAAACACAAATTCTACAATGACCAGGAAATTGAGCAAGTAGTTTGGCCTCCTTTTTTCCCTAAGAACACTGTTGGGATACTCAATCCTACGCTGTAAGGAGGAGAGAGTCCCAGTTGCCGAGTACACTGTTTGAGCTGAGACAGGTTCTTGTCGAGCGGTGGGCTAAACTGAGCCAGAGATACACCAGTAAACTGGTTAAGTCAGTGCCTTGAAGAATAGCCTGAACGGATGAAGCCAGCCGGGCTTGCAATCCCTGCTTCATTGAATCTGACATTTGCTTTTTTCTTTAAATTGCCAATTATTTACAAAAAGGAATCCAAATGTAAGAAAAAAACAACGAAATTTACTGCAATTCAAAGGTAGAAAATGAAATTATAATTAAACACTAAATAGTTTGTTGGTTGAATAATAGAATTTGTCTTAGAACGTACATTCTGTTGGGATAATATTCCATTATATTGAGCAAGAGTATAAGTGAAATATGGACTTAGTCTGGAAATACAAAAACACTTACAAATGTGTAGTTAAAATAAAACCACTAAGACAATTAAACACACAATAAGACAAACTCAACTCCAAATTGGCTCCCAAGAAGACATTGCAATGCCATGGTTCCCTTGATGACACAGAATGCAAAAGGATTGATCTTGTCAAGGCTATCACCTTACCATTAACTTACAGTCTTTATTCCTATAGCTTTATTTCCTCAAAATCCTTGAATGTATACCTTTCAGTACTCTTAACAAAATCTCCTACCACTTTTTATAAAACTGGAATATTCACAATCGCTAGGTGCATGGGAGCCGCTGTATTCTTTTATTAATTCATTATTAAAGTCGCTATTGGGAAATC